AAACTGTTAGCATAGGACTTGCGGTTGCGTCTTGCCATTTTAACTGTAAAATGGTGAGACCTCTTAGCCGATATAGTATTAAATTCTATTTATTTTGAAAATGCAAAAATATGGCATAAGTCAAAAACGAGGGGTAAGGAAGCCTGATATTAAGTATAAGCCTCCTCATTGTTTGCATTCCCTCTAAGACATCATCGTTACTCACATGCTTGGTCCATGATATCCTTAGTATACTTCTGTAGAACTACATCTCCGTCGCCTCGACTTTATTCTTCATCTTTGAGGTACTGACCAAAACATACCAGTTTCCTATCATCAAAATAACACATTCTTACTCACCATTCTTACTACACCCACCATAATACCTCAAGTCTCTATGAAGTCCTAACTAGTCACATATGTACAGTTTTTCTCTTGAGGGTGGGGGTAAGAATAACAGCATTTAAATATGAAACCCCAATGAATATTTACAATGATTACAAATTTTATATACAACCATCAATCTTCGTCCGCTTACTATAACTTCGCAAAGTAAAATATATACACTACTTCAAATTCTTCAAACATTTTAAATGAACATTTCATTCATAAATTGGCTTCTTATTGTTAAGGAAAGTTTTACAAATAGATGCCAACTTGTTGAAAGCCAAGTAAAATGCAAATTTCAAACACTTTTCTCCACTATATAAGACGATATTCCTAAAGAGAACTATTTTGATATGAAAATCTAAACAATTCTCGAATAAAAGAAAAGTAATGAATGACAGTTAATTAATGAAATGATTTTTTTTTAAATCAATATGCAAATTAGTTAATCGAAGAGTAATATTTCCTAGAAGTAGATAATATATAATACAAAATTGAGATCTAAGTAATTTATGCATATATTTATTATCTCTCAATTGCGTCTCTGTCCTTGGACAGTGTGCGCTCAGGGGCTTCTCTGTCAAAGGACAGAGGGGCAACTGAGAAAAATTATACTGAAGAGGTGCCCTTGGGAAGAGCTGCCCGAGGCCGCGCCCTCCCATTGCACTAGAGGGAGGGATCGGTGCTCGTACCGAGGCCAGCGCAACTGATGGTTGTGAGGGCTGAGGGGAATTTTTGTCCCTGCCCGAGTGTACGCGCTCGGGTCCCCACATTAAACCGACCTTGTGTCACATCTCATTCTCGTGGGGGAATGAGTAAACACCGCGTAAGTTGCTATAAGTAATTTATACTCTTTATTTACCATCTCTCAGTTGCGTCTTTTTCCTTGGACAGAGTGCGCTCAGGGCAACTCCGTCAAAGGACAGAGTCACAACTTTGGAAAATTATACAGAGAGGTGCCTGGCCCTGGGGAACAGCTGTTCGATGCCGCGCCTTCTCATTGCACTAGAGAGAAGGATCGGTGCACGCACCGAGGCCAGCTCGGGGAATTTTTGTTCCTTGCCCGGGTGCACGCGCTCGGGCTCCCCACATTAAACCGACCTTGTGTTACAACCTGACCTCGTGTGGGGGGTGCAGGTCAAGTAAATACCGCGTAAAGTAATTTATGCACATTACTTCTCTCTCAGTTGCGTCTCCGACCTTGTGTCACATCTCATTCTCTTGAGTAAACACCGCGTAAATTACTATAAAGTAAAGCTGGGCATTTTTTTTAAATCGCAGAATTCGGGAGAGAATTGAGCTCCAATTTCGCATTTATTTATATAGATTCTGTAATATAGGTTTTATTTAATTAGCTCTTGCGTTTCTCTAATCCTTCAAATGTTAAATGTATAACTTGTTCCAATTGCTGTTTTCCAATCATTACGCTATAATAATTGTATCTTTTTAAATTGTCCCCTGTTCTGTCACCCATGAAATAAAAATAATTGTTTGTACGGAAAATAAGAATCTACGTACATTAAATCGTTTTTAAATTAAGTGACAGTAGAAGAATTATCGTTGAACTTTTAAAAGGTATTTTGATACTTAAATGCAGCGATCAATTATGATGACATTTTATATTATTTAAATTTATTATTTTATTTTTATATTTATATAATTTTGTATTTATATATATTTATATTTCTTTTATATTTTATATATATATATTTATTTTATATTTTCTACTTATATTTATACCTATATTTTATTTTATACATATATTTCTTTTATTTATATATATTTATATATTTCTTTTATATTTATATATATATATATATATTTATTTTATATTTTCTATTTATAATTATTTCATTTATACTAATTTATTTATATTCATTTATTTATTATATTATTTATATTATTTTTATGTTTATATACATTTTTATTATTTAAATATATTTAAATTTTATTTGATCGCATACCACTTCTGATAAAAACTTTTACAAAGTCGTTATCTCATATATATATATATATATATATATATATATATATATATATATATATATATATGATATATATCACATTTCAGTTGCTGGACGTCTACGGATCTATATTGCCGCCCTCCGTCGGTGCGCTCCCAAGTGACTCCTTAGACAAGCCATAGACCAATACACTCTGCAACAAGCTGTACACGTCAGATCGAGCTGCCTGGGGGTGTCTTCAGTAAGTTCAACGGGAGAGACTTTATTCCCATCTCAGGCCTTGCCTGCTTCAGCCTCTTCTCCTTAAAGTGAAACCTTCCAACAGCCTCATTCCAATTATTGCGATCAAATCATCACAAGAAATATATATATATATATATATATATATATATATATATATATATATATATATCAAGTATGTGGTGAAGTTCAATTTACATTACATTAATCGGTACTTTTAATGTACTTTATTAAATTTGTTTGTGAAGATGTATTCTCACCAATTAAATCATTAATTTTCTATATCTGTTTTGTGTATGAATGATTCATGTAATATATATATATATATATATATATATATATATATATATATATATATATATATATATATATATATATATATATATATATATATATATTAACTGATTTAAAATATGGTACCTTCGCTACACAGGAATTACCATGTTTCGAAAACTGAAGTTAAAACCTTCAAATTTAATTATATAATTAAATTAAAAGCATTTGTTCTGTTTAATCTTCAAGCGAAATTTGGATTCCAGAATTTGCTTGAAGATGTTACAGAACTAATAACAGTCTCTTTTTGTCTGTTTTCTCGCAATCTGTGACGAAGCTTTCCCGAGTTACAACCTCTGTCCCGCAGATGGAATGTGGTAAC